GGGGGTGTGTGAGGGGAGTTGGAGAGCAAATAACGAATGTAGGCAGGGAGAGGGAGCACTAGAACTGATTGTGATGCTGTATCTACAACTCGTTTTGAAAGCGATTGAATGATGGAAGGGAATGATATGTGAATTATAGATCAATAACACTTTCTTTTCTTTTCTTTTTTTTAAGAACAAGGAGGTCCTGAGGTGGATTGACATAGAAAAAGCAGAGCAGGGACAGGGGGGGGTAGGGGGTGGGAAAGAGGTCTTTACCAGAGTCCTGACACAATTGTTATTGCTGCTAGTCAGCACAGACTCATGGGGGGCCCTGGACAACAGGAAAAACGGTTGTCCCCAACTGTTCATCTTCACGATTGTCAGTGGGCTTGTGTTCGGTGTTGTAGCTCTTACGCTTCCTGAGGGTCCCCCTCGCAGTTGTTAGCCCCCCACTGTACTGAGTGAGCGTCTGAGTCTCTTCCCCTTTATGAACCAAGAGGCTTGGACAAGCCTTGGCACTTCTTTGTCCCTCAGTTTTCCCTTGGGAAAAGGAAGGGCTCTCAGTAGCCCTGCCCCGCCTGCCTCCCAGGGCCAGCTGTGACTCCAAGGAGCCGGGCTGGGAACTAGAACACGGTCCTTGGGTGCTCAGTGATGGGGTGAGGGTGTCAAGCACCCAAGAGATGAGAGAGAGGGGGCTGTTGCAATCCCCACCGAGCACTGTCTTTTCCCAAACTAGGATGACAGGGACTCATGGTGCCCTGGGATCTTCCCTGGACGGGGAGCGAATCAGTGTCCTCGTTATGGGGATTGAATGGGTGACCACTGCGAAGGGATCACTAAGGGTCAACAAGCACCCGCCCTTGAGGCTCAAGCAAGTCCCAGCTTCCCCAGAAGTGTTGCCAGCCAATTGCCAAACCCAGACAGTTGACATAATACTGGCACATGACAAATCTGTGGGGTCGATCACCCATCAACTGAGGACACTCCTGAAAGCAGTCCCAGCCTTGCTCATTCCGCCCATTGGCTCTCAAGAACCCAACTCTCAAGAATCCAACTCTCAAGAATCCACTCTGACCAGGTCATCCTCCTGCTCAGGGGGATGGACAATCTTCCGGTGGGGTATGCCCAAACTCCTGAGCTTGGCCTTCAAGACTCTGTGGCCCAGACTCTGGTGAGCTCTCCCTCCCACCATGCCTCTGGCCCCACTGAGCTACAGACTCCCTCCAGGGGCTGCCTGCTTCCTGAAGGTGCCAGGGTTTCACAACCTGGGTGCCATCCAAACGCTCTTCCCATTGTCTTCCAACAACCTTCCCTCCATCCTTCAAGGCCTAGCGTGGATTTCCCCCCTTTTGTGAAAACAGCCCTAAGCCATCTTCCCCTGTGCTCCCATGTCTCCCACACAGCCCTTCCCACACCATTGTATCCAGGACTTCTTTAGATAGCCGTCTCTCATCCTGTACCACAGGCTTAATAGGCTAGAGATTTGTTCTGATTTATTACAAGATCTTCAGTGCCCGCGAGTAAATGCACATAAGCTTAGTTAACAGAGTCATTCGTTCTGGATGGGCCTTTGGGGAAAGAGAAGGAGGGTATGATTTTAGGCCCGGTGCTAGAATACCTTTATCTGTAGAGGATGTGGCAACAAATGAGTCCTTCTTCCTTCATACGTAGTCCTAAAACCTTCTTCTGTGCTACCCAAGACTATTCTGCGGTTAGAATTTCCATCAAAAGCCAAGCCGGGCAGTGGGAGTTGCGGGAGGGGGCGGAGGGGAGCTGGGTAGAGCTCCCTGCAGGAATCAGAAGCTCACTTTGCGGCTGCTCTCTCTGCAGCCTTGGTGGTGCCTTCTGTCTCTCCTGGCCTCCGCTTCCTCATCTATAAACGTGTGTATGTGTGGGGGGTGGGGGGGTGGTCACTGGAGGAGCAGGTGAGATCATAAATGATAAAGAATCATGAAAAGCAGGAGGCACAAGCAAATGTGATTTCTCTCTCTCTGATCTTCATGGCAATTCATTTCAGAGTCTTTTGCTCAGAACTTGGCATTTTCCCTCCTTGGGAAATCTCCCTCCTCAGAACTGCTGCGATTGAAGGAGCCTTGCTGGCCCCTGGATTTGCTTCCACGTGCCTTCTGGGGAGCAGACTTTGCCTTTAAATTTCAGTAATTTATTTTCCTACCAAATAGACTCCCAGTGGGTCTGCAGTGGCTGGAACATGGAGACCAACTGATGCGTGCCTGCATTTTTAAAGGCTTTAATATGTAACCGTTTCATTCTTCCAGGGGAGATATTTCCTAAGCGATAGGATCCTTTGTCAATAATATACTTGTTTAGGGTTGGAGGTGAGTCAGAGAACACAAAGCCCAAGCACCAAAACTAATACTGGTGTTGGGCCTTCCCCGGAGACAGGTCTCCAGCAGCACAGAGGTGTCTCCGCAAAAAGGCCTGGTGATCTACTTCTAAAGAAATCAGCCATTGAAAACTTCGGTACACATGGGGCCGCATGAGTCGGAGGCTCCGGTCACTGGATGTTTTGACCAGGTCAGTGATGAGTAATGGGATGCAGTTCAGCCCAGACGCATGAAATTCTTGGGATGTATGGCTTCAGACAGGACCGGCTGGAGCACTTCCTAGAAATCTTGACCTGTCACTGTAAGCGGGGAAGGCTAATTAAAGGAAGTGAAGAACTAGCAGTCAGGAGATTGCAGTGTGCTAAAATACCCAGGCTGCCACACTGCATATTGCCAAGTAAGCTCTCTGCCTGGCTACCCACCTCCCCACCCAGAGGCTCTTTCTTCCTTGACTGATGTCCCCTTGCAAACACCTTCTCTTCACTGTTTATCCTGAAGGGACCTTGCAGGCAACCTTTGGAACAAAGGCTAACACTTTAACTGAGGCTCACAGGTGCCAACTCTGAGTATACCAAGAGCTGGCTCTGTCTTTCTCATCCCAGCTCCACCGCAGGGTCCAGGAACAGAGCAGTCAGGCCCCTTTATAAAAATAAATAACAGTAAAGGAAAAATAAACTAAACTTGGGTCAGTCGGTTTCCCCCTCTAATGCACATTGGGCCTGATCTGGTTTTCAAAATTTCTGTGGGTTGGTTGGTTTGATTTTTGTTTGTTTGTTTTTTCATATTAGGGTTTATCTCGGATGAATTTGGTCATTGAGGGTAACCCTCTTGAATTTTTGTTATACATTTTTCTGTTTTTTCAGCATATGAAACCCAGGATTGCTGAACCTAGAGAGGCAACAGGTAGAAGAAGGGGTTTTTGGAGGGTACAGTGCCAGGGGATGATGGTGGTAATGGGGAACTGATGTCAAGGAGTTCAAGAAGGAAGAGAGTGTTTTGAAATTGATTGTGGTAGCAATTATACAATACTGCTTGATGTAATTGGATTATGGAATGCTATGATATCGGTATTGGCTCCTAATAAAATGGTTTTGGGGGGGAAAAACTCAGGCCATTTGTTGTTTTTTGTTTTTTTTAAATCGTTTTATTAGGGGCTCATACAACTCATCACAATCCATACATACATCAATTGTGTAAAGCACATTTGTACATTCATTGCCCTCATCATTCTCAAAACATTTCCTCTCTGCTTAAGCCCCTGGCATTAGGTCCTCATTTTTCCCCTCCCTCCCTGCTCCCCCCTCCCTCATAAGCCCTTGATAATTTATGAATTATTATTTTGTCATATCTTGCCCTTTCCGACATCTCCTTTCACCCACTTTTCTGTTGTCCATCCCCCAGGGAGGAGGTCACATATAGTTTCTTGTAATTGGTTCCTTCTTTCCAACCCACTCTCCCTCTACCCTCCCAGTATTGCCACTCACACCACTGGTCCTGTAGGGCTCATCCACCCTGGATTCCCTGTGTTTCCAGTTCCTATCTGTACCAGTGTACATCCTCTGGTCTAGCCAGACTTGCAAGGTAGAATTCGGATCATGATAGTGGGGTGGGGGTGAGGAAGCATTTAGGAACTAGAGGAAAGTTATATTTTTCATCGTTGCTACATCGCACCCTGACGGGCTCGTCTTCTCCCCGAGACCCCTCTGCAAGGGGATCTCCAGTGGCCTACTAATGGGCTTTGGGTCTCCACTCCACACTCCCCTCATCATTCACTATGGTAAGATTTTTTGTTCTGATGATGCCTTATACCTGATCCCTTCGACACTTCGTGATTGCATAGACTGGTGTGCGTCTTCCATGTGGGCTTTGTTGCTTCTGAGCTAGATGGCCGCTTGTTTACCTTCAAGCCTTTAAGACCCCATATGCTATAGCCATTTGTAATAAAATTAAATATATACTTTATGACCTACCCATCCACTCCTAACTAGATTTTGTTAAGTGAAATGAAAATATATGTCCACATGAAGATTTGTGGAAGTACATCTGTAACAATATACCTCCTAACAGTCAAAAAGTGGCAACAACTCAAATGTTTGTGCTCTAATGAATGTATGGAAATAGGTATGTCCATGAAATGGAATATTATTATACAGTCATGAAAAGTAATGGCGCTCTGGCACATGCTGCAGCCTGGATAAACCTCACAAACATAATGTGGAGTGAAAGAAGACCACATATTGTATAATCTCACTTCTCAGAGATGTCCAGATGAGACAAGTCTGTAGAGACAGACCATAGATCCGGGATCCAGGGATTGGGGAGTTTGGAGTACAAGGGAGAGTGACTGCTAATAGGGATGAGATTTCTTGTTGGAGTGATGAAAATGTTATAGAACAGGGTGCTCACACGTTTTCAGCATGGGAGCTACTTATAAAATGATGAAGTCAAAATGATCTACCAAATACAAAAATGCAAAACATATTTATTTTTATTTATTTATTGCATTTATTCATAAATGCATTAGAAATCTTTATATGTACAATGTATGTTTATGTACCTTGCATAACTGCATGAGTCCATATTGTACAACACAACACAATTAAGTATGTAAATTTTTTGTCATGACCTGAGTTTACTCTGATGACTTGCACTGAATGGAATGAGCCAGGGATGCATAATCCGGACAGTAGTTACTGACAGCCAGCCTCAAGCACACTTCCAAATGATCATCAATCATGGTGGAACGGTACTTGGACTTAATGATCCTTATGTGGGGAATGGCTGACTCACATAAATAAGTAGAGCCGAATAATGCAGTCAAGGAGGTAGCACATTTTCTCATGTTTGGGTACTTTCCCTCTGCGAGTAAGTTCCAGAACTGTTCATGCGCTCTGGACTTCAGCTGAATGTCGGCTTGTAGCGTCAAAATCTCTCATTCGGAATGAAAGTGATACGTTTTTGTCTTCTTACTTGGTCCAACTCCCCAACTCATTTTTTTAAATAATTTTATCGGGGGCTCATACAACTCTTATCACAATCCACACATACATCAATTGTGTAAAGCACATTTGTACATTTGTTGCCCTCATCATTCTCAAAACATTTGCTCTCCACTTAAGCCCCTGGCATCAGGTCCTCTTTTTTCCCCCCTCCCGCCCCACTCCCCCATCCCTCATGAACCCTTGATAATTTATAAACTATTATTATTTTGTCATATTTTACACTGTTTGGCATCTCCCTTCACCCACTTTTCTGTTGTCTGTCCCCTAGGGAGGAGGTTATATGTAGATCCTTGGAATCGGTTCCCCCTTTCCACCCCACCCTCCCTCCACCCTCCTAGGATCGCCACTCTCAACCACTGGTCCTGAAAGGATCACCTTGTCCTGAATTCCCTGTGTTTCCAGTTCCTATCTGTACCAGTGTACATTCTCTGGTCTAGCCATATTTGTAAGGTGGAATTGGGATCATGATAGTGGGTGGGGAGGAAGCATTTAAGAACTAGAGGAAAGTTGTATGTTTCATCGTTGCTGCACTGCACCCAGACTGGCTCATCTCCTCCCCGAGCCCCTTCCATAAGGGGATGTCCAGTTGCCTACAGATGGGCTTTGGGTCCCCACTCTGCACTCCCCCTCATTCACAATGATATGATTTTTTTGTTCTTTGATGCCTGATACCTGATCCCTTCCACACCTCATATTCACACGGGCTGGTGTGCTTCTTCCATGTGGGCTTTGTTGCTTCTGAGCTTCCCCCACTCATTTTAATACCCCCTTTCTACATTTAAGAGAAAAAAAACAAGGTCTAAAAATTGGTGATAACTTAGCGTGTCAGTTTTGCTGCACTTAGTGCAGTTGTTTGCGCTTGTGTTTGACACCTAAAATGGCATCTGATTGCACTGTATATCAGTTAAGCGACAGGATTGATGATAGGCTTATGTCTATATTTTTAATGCCATGCGATCTACCCACACTACAGTTGCGATTGACTAGTAGATCGCAATCACCGTATTGAGCACCCGTTCTAGAGAATGGTGGTTGCACAACTCTGAATACTGCAAAAACTGCTGAGTCGTACGCTTTAGATGGGGAAATGGGTGGAATAAAGCTGCCATTTATATGAATAATACAATAAGTCAGTAAATAAAAAGTGCCAACGGTGATCCTTCCTCAAGCCCACGTCAGGTGCTTGTGCAGCCTGTGAAGCCCCAGAATTAGCACCCTGCAGACAGTTGGACCACAGCATCTCACTGGGCTGGCAGTGTGGCAAAGCATTGGTCCATCCCTCTGCCTGCTCGCCCTCGCTCATGGAGCTGACTCATTGACGTGACCTCTGGCTTGATTGGTCCACCCTGAGCTAAGGCAGAATTCTGATTCTCACCCTGCAAGCCCTGGGTGAGCAGGACAAGGTGACAAAGCTTTGCCGGACCCATGTTGTGGACCTCCTTCTAGATGTCACTGTCCTTGGTGCTGTCGTGAATGTTCTGTGACCTTGGCAGGTCGTAGATAGGGCCGACTCGGCAGAGAGTGAACACTGGGATTGAGCCTCACAGCCAGTGTGTGTCTTGCTTGATGCCCCACTGTGTGTTCTGTGGCATGACAGCAATAGTAGAGAGCACTTACTATGTGTCTGGCTTGACCGTAGCGCTTAGGATGTTTCATTATTCAATCCTTTCCACCACCCTGAAGGGGAAGGTCTTATATTAATTCTGTTCTGATGACAACTGATGGTCAGGCCCTGAAACCTACAGGTGGCCTCACTGTGGTCACGGTGGCTCAGGCAGAGTGACCTGAGGGTGCTATCTGTACCTGTCACCCCAGGAGGAGGCAGAGGGTGAGCAGGAAACAGGGCTTGCCCAAGGGTCAGCAGCCCCTGTGTGGACTCTTCAGTCCCAGGACTCTCCATCCTGTGCTAGCCTGTGTCCAGTTACGGAGCACAGAGAAGAAATGTAAGAGGCAGGGCTCTCACCCAGCTTGAGTCAGAGGGGCAGAGAAACAGCAGGCTATTCACATCTGAGAAAGGACGGTCACATTTAGAAAACTACCAGACCAGAATTCTGTATGGAAGGAAGGCAGGAAGGCCTCAAGGTTAGAGATCTCCGCAGATCAAAGAATATTCCGTGAAGATGAGGGGGATTATTTTTTCGGTTGGTTGGTTTGCTTGCTTTTCCAGGTCATCAATAATGGACAATAC